GTCCTTCAGCTGTTCGAGCGGGCACTGGTTCACTGTCCCACAAGCAAGCTCCCCCTCGCGCTCGGCCTCCGGCCGCGCAACCCACCAGTCTCGCGTCTCCCACCACCCGTTGTCCCAACCCTTCCAGCTGCCCCAGCCGCTCCACGGGCCACCCCACCACTGCCCCTCCTCGTGGCCGCCACTGCGGCCCTCTTGCGCCCAATCGTCCGAGTCCTCCTCGGCCGCCACTGCGGCCTCCTGGCCGCCGCTGCGGCCTGCGCGCGCCATTGGCGCGGGGTTTTCCGCCGCCATCTCGCGGCCCTCGGCCGCGGAGGGGAGGTCTGGGCCGAGTGGCCGCGGGCGCCTAGCGGACAGGGGCCGCGGGCGCCGACTGCGGTCCGCGTGGGCCTCGGCGAGCGCCGCGCGGGGGCCCGCACCGGAGCTCGTGGCTTGAGCTTGCTCGGTGGGGAAAAACTACAGGCAAGAGGAAGAGACAGAAAACGCGGGACGGGAAGAGATGGGAAGACGGAGCGAGAAGGCGAGAACGGAAATAAGAAGAGAGTAAGGGAGAGAGAGAGAGAGAGAGAGAGAGAGAGAGAGAGAGAGAGAGAGAGAGAGAGAGAGAGAGAGAGAGAGAGAAAGAGAGAGAGAGAGAGAGAGAGAGAGAGAGAGAGAGAGAGAGAGAGAGAGAAAGAGAGAGAGAGAGAGAGAGAGAGAGAGAGAGAGAGAGAGAGAGAGAGAGAGAGAGAGAGAGAGAGAGAGAGAGAGAGAGAGAGAGAGAGAGAGAGAGAGAGCGACATATAGAAGGTAGAGAGATGAGAAGAAACGCAATGGCACAGAAAGAAAGAGAGAGAAACATAAAGAGATATATATATAGAGAGAGAGAGAGAGAGAGAAGAGAGAGAGAGAGAGAGAGAGAGAGAGAGAGAGAGAGAGAGAGAGAGAGCGAAAGAGAGAGAGAGAGAGAGAGAGAGAGAGAGAGAAAGAAACAACAAAAAGGGAAAGAGAGAGACGCAACCATGGCACCATAAAGTGCGAAGCCAAACGGGGTGAAATGCGTCACCGCGAAGATATCGTCACGAAACTACCGCATGTTTACTGCATTTCTGGACGCTGAGAAGCAAACGAAAGTGCGCATACGAGACGCACGAAAATGCGCAAACGAACAACACATCAAAACATAATATATATAAAAAAAAGCTTTACGATCTATTGAGAATGAGACAGACAGACCGAGACAGAGAGACAGAAACAGAGAGACAATGGCCCGATCTCTCAAAACAACTTGCCTTTTTTCAAATGCCGAGGGTTGGGGGGGGGGCAGAACCCCAGGAGCGCTGCAACCCCTCGTGGAGGGGTTGCAGCATTCCCAGGGGGCTGCGCTTAAAGTTTGATATTCAACGTTTTATTTAGGCTTTTGGATTAACCCTTTCTTCTTGCGGCATCGACGAAGCTCCCGCGTGCCACTCCCGCGGCCGCGAAGCACGCTCCACGGAAGAAAGCTGCCGGGGCGGCCTGGCGGTCCAAGGTGTAGTCGAGCTGGCCCCTCCGGTCCCATAGGACGCACTCGAGTTGAAACGGGCCTGCGCTTCCTGCCTCGGGGGCGGCCTCTGACCGAAGCCTAGGTAACCTAGGCCCGGCGGGGGCCCCGCTGGGGGGGGCCTCGGCGGGGCCGCCGGGCCCGCGCGCCCACCCTCTGCGGGCCAGGGTGGCATCGCCGTCCTCTGCCCACAGACAGCCGCCTCGTGGCCGTCGTAGGGTGCGTGGGTCGGTGGCGTCGCGGGAGGCCCCTCTGCCCCTCCCGGGGATTGGCCTCCCTCTCCTCCCAGAAGCTCCTCGCTCTACACCTCGCGGCGTCATCCCCTACGGAGACTGGCGCCCGCCTCGCTGACCCCTCCTCCATGCGTCGCATCGGTCGCCTCGATGAGCTCTGCGAGCAACTCGTGCCTGCCCATGCCGCTCTCGGACGAGATGACCCCTCTGGCCGCTCCATCTGCGAGCCCGTCCGCGCGCTTGCTGAGGTAGGTCGAGATGAGCGACGATCTCGGGTCCTGGCTCCGCTGCCCCTCGCCCTGCCCATGAGCCCTCCTCAGCTTCGCCTCGAAGTCCGCCCGCGCGTCTCTCCTCGTCGGGGTAGCACTGCGGCTCATGGGCCGCGCCCGCTTGGCGAGGCGATGGCGGCTGCGGTCCTTGCTGAGCGCTATGGCGGAAGCTGGACTCAGCGCGCCCCCCCGGCAGTTCGCGCCGTCGCCGTGGTCCGAGAGCCGCAGCGCAGCACCAGGGCGCCAGCGGATGGCGGGGGACTGGGCCCCCGCGAACTCATCGAGCAACTCCAGCCTCGGCGCCGAGAAGGCGCCGTCCTGGATGGAAGACCAGCCCCAAGCCGACCGCCTCCACGTCCGCCCTCGGGCCGTCGTCGCTGAAGTCCTCGGCCGGGCCGACGAAGCGCGCCGGGAAGCTGCAGCGCGCGTCCCACTCGTGATCCGCGTCCGCCAGGGGGTCTCGCACATGCAGTAGCCACGTAGCCTCAACCTCAGCTTTGGCTGGGCTGCTCCTCCGGCTTGCGGCCCCCGGGGGGCGGCGAGCTGCGCGATCCTCGCCCCTCCTTTCCAGCTCCTTGCTGCTCGACCTCCGCTCTTGAGCTCCATCCTCCTGGTGAGGCGTGGCTGATCGACTGCGCCGGCCCAACGTCCGATCGGCTGCGTGCGCCGCGCGCAGGGAGAAGCCGTCCCTCTCGATCACATGGGCGCGATGACACTGCGAGCGCGCGCACCTCCGCGCGGCCGCCCGGCTCTCGCAGGCGCCCGCGTGATGAGCACGCGCCCGAAAGACCCGAGCATTTCCTTCCTCCTGCATCTCGCGCACGTCGGATACCGCAGCGCGCCCTCGACCAGCATGAAAACTGGATCCTGCCTGGCCGTATCACGGCGGCACGCAGCGCTCAGGACTTGGGTGTCGTCCTTGGTGACGTACGCCACTCGGTCTGCCTGGCAGACGTCCACGCTCGGCTCTGACTCGGTTTCGGAGTTGGGGTCCATCTCCTCGGCCTTGCTGGCCGGTTGCCCAAGCTTGGGGTGCTTCAGCCTCCGCCCGGTGCAGCGCCTGAACAGCCTTCCCCCCGCTCTGCCCACTCCGCGGCATACCCGCGCGCAGCGCAACCAGCTGCCAATCCTAGCGCGCCCCGCTGGAGAGAGCTCAGCCAGGTCCGCCACGTTGACTGGGGAGCTGCGGGCCACGACGCACGAGGAGCAGACATGGACCATGGGCTTGTCGCCGGCTGGGAGGGTGCAGGGAGACGCCGCGCAGATGCACCAGGCTGATACCCTCGTTGTCCCGAGTTCCCTCCAAGTCGGCCCTCCGGTGGCGATGGGAACTGCTTTTTACCTCCCTGAACTTGTACACGTAGCCGTGACGTGTGACGCGGCCGCCCTTCAGCGGCCCCTGCTCAAGCCTGGCCACCGAGCCCCCTGACTGGATGATGAGATCGTTGGGCGTCATCTTCTCTGCTCCACCCCCTTTCGCACGAACCTCGGTCTTGACGTAGTCTTCATCGACAGCCAGCGCCTCCGACGGGCCATGCCAGCTGAGGAACTCCGCTGAGTTGCCGTCGAGCGCCAATTTCACGTCGTGCCCCGTCTTGCTGCCCTGCGCGAAACCCTTCAGCGTCGCCAATAACAGAGACGCGTAGCTCCATGCCGTCCTCAAGAACCAAACGAGGAGGCCCACTGCCGATCCGAGGACCGTCGCAACTCCCAGGGCTACCAGCCCCATGGCCACCCACTGCAGCCTCGCCCAGTAGGCTCCGAGTAGGTAGCGGCCCAGGGAGTCGACCGGACCCATGATGAATGTGATGAGCTGGCGGAGGAACGCGCCCAAAACGTGCCCCATTCTCTCCCCCAGCCACTTGAGTACCACTTCGACAAGGGAGTTGACCCGCTCCATCGAGAAGAACTCTTCGCTGGGTGCCGTGGCTGAAACTGGGGTGTGCCCGCTGGCGGGCCCACTACCACCGTCTGTCACATTCGACGTCCCTCTCCGCCCCATCGGGCGGGGGAGGCGGCGGGCCCGCTCCTGATGCCTGCGCCTCCTTGGCCTCCTCCCTGGCACGCGCCTCCCGCGTCCTCGCGGGCTTGGGCGCGGATGTCTCCTTCACTGCCTCAGCCTCAAGCCGCGTGCCGTCGTCCTGCAGCGCGGAGTCCACCTTCTCCGTTTCGCCTGCCCGGGATGCCTCTTGGCCGCCGGGCCCACGGGGGGGGGGCCCGCGGTGATGGCGCAGGCGCCGCCCTCGCCGGGACGTGGTCGGCGTGGTAGTAGTCGTAGTAGGCGTAGTACACCTCTAGGTTCTCGCTTCCCCGACCTGAACGCCTGCCCAGACCGGCCATGGCTGGCGGCGGGTCCGTGGCCAGGGGCTCCGCGGGACCGGGGAGCGCCGCTGGTGGAGGTGGCCCCTCGGGCGCCTCAGCCGCTGGCAGCTCATCACCGCCCGCCTCTCCGCAGCTGGGCTCGCCCTGGGGGCCAGGCGGGTCCTGCTGCTGCTCGCCTCCTTCGTCATCAGGTCCAGCGCGCTCGTGACCTCCCTCCTCGGGGCTCGTCACAGTAGCAGACGCGTGGACCGTCGCATACCAGCTGACGCCGAAGGACACATCAAGCCACGTGGCCAATGCGCCCATGGCCAAGGCCAAGGTGCACTTTAGCCCGTGGACAGGCCTCATCCTCGGGCCTTCCCTCGAGGGCGTCCACGCGTCCGCTGCGGACCGCGGGGCTCCCCTCCGGAGCCCCCGCCCGCACTGGAAGGGGGACCTGGCCCAGCCACTACCCAGCACTCCTCGGAATGCGCGTGCTATGGCCCCGCCCGCTTACCTCCAAAAGAATCAGCGCGGCTCCCTAGGAACCTTGAGCGAAAAGGGTTGCGGGAGACAGGCGAGAGGCAGGCAGAGGCAGAGGCAGAGACAGGACAGGGAGAGGGGCTGCGCCAGGCTGGGAAACCCTATGATCTAACTAACGTTCATGTGGAAGGTGTACGAGGCGAAAGAAGGCAGGATGAGCAACAGGAATGAACAATGGAATGTATGGAGAGAAGGGAGCACGAGACGGAAGGGCCGAGAAAAGGGCGTCCCAAAGAAGCAGTCCTAGGATGACACCAGACGTCCACCTACACCGGCCTTGGCCAGTTTAAAATTCGGCCCGGCTTCGGTAGATACGCGCTCTTGGCCTCGCCAGAGTGACGTACCGATCGTGGACCCAAGATTGACCTTTGCCAGGGTCGGTGTGTGCAAGTGGATCAACATATTCCCACGCAGCCCATGTTGGAGCAGGCCAAGTCCTTCTCTCTTCGCCTCTCTGCTGCTCTTCTGGCAGCTTCGTCCCTTTCCTGCGGGGGGGGTCGGCCGTGCCAAGGACAAGGACGCGCAGCGGAAGGCGCCTGTCGAGAGTCAGTGCAACCCCCTTCCTCCTCCTCCTCTTCCTCCTCCTCCTCCTTTTCCTCCCCCTTCTCTTCCTCCTCCTCCTCCCTCCCGCGGGCCCCCCTGGACACCTTTATGAAGGTCCACCATCATGGCAGGCACCCGGACATGTAGCGGGGTGATGTGATGTTCCTCTGCTGTCAGGTTTGGTGTTCGATAGTGTTGGACAACCCAGCATCCCACATGCATCGCCCCCTCCCTTCCTTCCTACAGCCCTCAACGGTCCCATGAGCAGCCAAGATGCTTCCAATATGGGTTCAAAATGGCTCCAGAGACATCTCGATGCCTGTCCCGAAGACTACATCAGACACACCACCTGTAAGAGAGCCCATAAGAGCCCACACGGCGCCCCAAGGGCCGTCCTAAAAGCTCGAGTGAACCTCGAAAGAACTCTCCAGGTCCCTGGACCTGGAGGCAGGATCATTGAAATACTTTACTCGCTCTAATGCGTTCTAATTGTCACCCTGTTGCGCCGCCAGAGGCTGGGAGTTGCCCCTGGGATCCCGCAAGCGGCTCCAACGATGCCACGAGAACCCCCTCAGGCAGCGAGAAGACGGCCCCAGACGCGTCCATGGCGGCTCAAGAGGGGCCGAAAACCCCACATGCGCTCCAAAAATGACTAAACATCGACCCAAAATGCTTCCCAGACGGCCCCAGTACCATCCGTGACGGCCCCAGCAAGCCCACACACAGCCGAGGGGTCTCCCCATACAGCCCGAGCTCGCAAACTGACGACCCGACGACGCCCAAAATACCTCAAGAGGCCTCCGAAAAGTTCCCGAGAAGACCTTAAGAGGCTCCCGAGACTCTGCCAACAACCCCTCCAAACGCTTGGGGAATGAACCTTCAAACGTTACGGGTTCTCGGCCCAGGAGAATACAGGGGTCATATTCATCCAAGCATGACAGCTCAATCCCCCGACGCGATGTCCTTGCACCCGAAATGTAGTTCGACAGTTCCGCGGGATGCTTATTGCTGGGCGGTATCCTCAAACACCAGACCGCGAACTTAAAGTAGTATTACCCGCGAGCCGCGCGCCGATGATGGCGTCAAGCATCGAACATACGACAAAAGGAATCGTCAAGAACGCCTAAAACCAACTAAAACTGTGAAACAAAAGCGTTTGACACAGAACAACTACAGATCACATACGGAAAACTGAAGACAGCATGGAACTAGCTGAGAACCATTCCGAATACCAGCAAATGCGCACCGACCAGCAACGCTTGTTTCCCCAAAGTCTTCAGGGCCCCTGAGGGTTCCCAGAGGTCCTAAGAACTTCTTTGGGTTCCCCCTGGGATCAATGCGATCCCTCAAGATTCCCACAACCGAATTCCTCATGCACCCTCACGCCGTTCAGGGTTTCTCCGGAGTCCATGCGTTTCCTCACTAATCATGAGAGTAGGTTTCCTCTGGGTTTTTCAACAGGACTCCTGTGGAGTCTTCTGGATCCCCAAGAAACCTCAAGATTTCCACAGGTTTCTTCAGAACGCTACAGGGTTTCTCAGGATTCTGCAAGATTTCTTCTGGACGCCGCAGGGTTCCTCATGACTTCTATCCTCAAGGTTTCGCCAGGTTCCGCGGGGCCTCTGGGTAGTAGTCGTGAGGTGCGCGAATTCTAGGCACGACATTTGCAGTGCCGGAAGGGCGACGTGCAGGAAGGGAATGTCTTCATTGCAATGATGGTTTCACGACGACCTCCACAAGACTGAAACATTGAGCTGGCACATGATGTGGACCTCCAAAGCATCGCGAAGAGAAGCGCATCATGTCACGGTCCTCTTGGCTGATGGGATATGCTATCCACCGACTCACGCTTGCCGAGGGAGAAAAGCCGCGTCACACATTTGACTGTCCTTCCCCCTGCCCTCCCCCGCTGGGTCCAACATACCGTTGGACGGTGGGGGGGCACGAACTTCTCAACGCACCTGCCGAGCTCCAGAGGCCTCCAAATGCATCCTTCTGCGAAGCAGAAGACCACAAGATGTCTTCCAAGCCACCAAAGACTGCGCACAACACTCCGACGAACCCCGAAGCGAATCCAAGATGGCCTCAAGAAGGCCCGAGAGGCCCCCAGGACTCCCCAAGAGGGCCTGATGCGAACTCCTAGACAGACTCAACAGGCAACAGTTCTCGATTCCTCAAAAAAAGTTCTGAATCACCTTTCCCCAAACAATGTTCACACTTACGGTATCTTATTTGCGTTCTAAACTAACTGGGCCCTGATGCCAATCCCGCCGGCTCGTCGTGCCCCGTCGCCGCCGTCCGTCGCCGCTACTTGCACTGGGCCCCCGTGCGGGTCAGGCCGGCTTGTCGCCGCCGCCCGTCGCTGCCTGTCGCCACCGTCCGTCGCCGCCGCTTGCATTCGTCCACTCGCATTCGTCCACTCGCAGTCGTCCAGCATAACTTAGGACAACATTGCACAGCTGACCACAGCATATCATAGCATAGCCTATGTTGGCTTAACATGGCAAACAAGGGCATCGCATTGCATTAGATAGCAATGTGCAACCAATGCGGTGCGACGTACGACTGCAACGCATCGATTGCATTGCGGAGATTGCCCCGCACTGATTGGCCCTAACGGATTGCATTGCGTAAATTACACTGCGTATTCAACATCGCACATCTAATACAGCTTAATATGCTAGAAAACACTGTTGGGGTCCACACTGGCCAACATGATGCTATCGCTTCTTCGAATTTCCAAAAACCCAAGACGGCTCAAATTGGCCTCCTCAACCCGCCCATAGCGGCCAAGGAGACTCCCGCGACGGCCCAGGAAGGCATCAAGGCGGCCCAGGAACCCCAGAAATCGGCCCAAAAAGGCCAAAGAGGCCCCCAAGAGGGCCCACACAGGGACTTTCGAGGAAGAGCTCGATGGAGTTCTGGGAGCCCATCCCCTCAAAGCAACCCCCCTGGGTCCCCCAGCATGCCCACAGCAGGCCCCAAAGAGAACCCCAGAGAGCGACAAAATGGCCCCACATCGCCCGAAAATGTGCAAAGGGGTTACGAGCATTCCCAAAATTGCACCACGAATATGGCTCCATCCACGTTGGCCCATTTCCCCCTGCAGACGTCTCCCCCGCAACTCACTCGACATGGATCGCCATCGCCGCCAAAATAACACCCGCGTCGATGGGCGCGGCAGAGCGCTGCCACGGTCGGAAAACAGACAGCGCGGCGAGCCGCTGGCTGTATTTTCGTTGTTTTATGTATATATATATATATATATATATATATATATGGTTGTTGTTGGTGGTGGTGTTGTTGTTGCTGCTGTTGTTGATGTTGTTGTTGTTGTTGCGGTTGTTGTTGTTGTTGTGGTGATGGTTGTTGTTGTTGTTGTTGGTGTTGGTGTTGGTGTTGTTGTTGTTGTTGTTGTTGTTGATGTTGTTGTTGTTGTTGTTGTTGTTGTTGTTGTTGTTGTTGTTGTTGTTGTTGTTGTTGTTGTTGTTGTTGTTTTTCTTGGTGTTATTTGTGTTGTTGCTGTTGGTGGTGTCGTGTTGCTGTTGTTGTTGTGGTTGTTGTTTCTCTGTATTTCTCTCTCTCTCTCTCTCTCTGTCTTTCTCGTTTCTTAATAGATATCCTTGTTTTCTACGTGTACATACATCATTCAGACGTCTACACCATACCCCTGCACTTAGGGGTTCTGACTTGTATCACGAAAGAGTTGGATGGCTCCCCGACGATTTGCAACGGTGCCGCCCGTTGCCGTTTGGAAGTGTCCGACGAGGATTCGCAACGATGCCACCAGTTTCTGCCTCGTTGCCAATTTGGGGGACCGCCGAAGATTCGATGCCGCACATCGCCGCCCGTTGCCGCCACGTTGCGCTTGGGGGTAGCGGGGGCAGGGCATGACCATGCCCCCAACGGATTCCCAATGGAAACCATAGTACCGATTCCGATGCCCCTTTTCTGGTCATCGTTCGGTTGTGTTTCCTTGGCGGCAGCATGTCGCCACGCCCTGGCTCGCCCTGAAATTGCCGTCGGGGCGCGCCCTGGGATCAGCCTGGGGGAATGGGTTCCAACACTCTGGCGCGCTGGCTCTCTGCACCAAGGGTCTCGCCCGCGCCCCGGAAAAAAACCACAACGGCCCCCGAGGACCTCAGGATGGCCATGGCCGCCAAGACGGCCCAAACTGGCCCCCAGGCAGCCCTTGATGATCTCGAATTGGCCAAGAAGCCCCCAAGACACCGCAAGATGGGTCTTAGCTCCTCCACCTCCCCCTTCTCCTCGCATTCCCCCTCCCCCCTCCCTCACATGATTTTCCATCCCCCCCGCCCCACCCCACCCCCTCATCCTCCTCCCCCCTTCCTTCTTCCCGACTTCCCCGTCGACCCTCCCCCTATTCCCCCCTCCTCCTCCGCTTGCCCCCCCCCCGCCCTCCTCGCCCCCCCTCCGCTCCAACGAACGCGGGGTGGATGGAAACCCCGCTCAAGGATCACCCCCTGCGCCCCCTCGATGGCGTCGAGAAAATGCCACGCGCAACGCCCCCCGCGACCCTGGAACCGATAGAAGGCCATGCCGCGGAAGTTGATTTGCCGCCTGACGTCGGGACCTATGTTGCGGAGGTGTTTCGGGTGCCCGTGCGCTATGGCCATAGGACCTGCACATCAGGTGTCCACGAACATGTGGGAGATGCAACTGAATGGCGCGCAGTGCAACGGCACATGGCATGGCGCAGCAAAAAGTTGCGCAGTTCGGGCGCGTGGTATGCGACATGCGCGCGACAGGCACCATGAATATGCGCCATGTACTTCAGAGACATATGCCGAAACATACATTTTAAGAATGGCGAAGGCTGCGCGGGAAATGGCGATGAAACGACTCGCGCACTTCATGGGCGGCTGTCGGCCCCGCTCTTCGAACACACGCGCGACGGCGCCCACTTCGGACACCAACGACG